ATTAATGTTTCGATGTTACAACATCATCCTCAGGAGTGAACTACAAGACAAGTGCCAAAGTATTTATCGCTTGTTAGTAGGTCATTGACCTGTATGTTATTTTTCATACATTCACACTAAACCATTCAAAGGAGAACAATCCCCATTCTTGCAGAAATATTCGCCATACCTTCATCTCTATTAAATACTACATGATCTTTTTTTGTGTTTTATTATTTCTAACAATTCATGAATATTATTACCTATTACACTTTTAGGTTGAGCTAATATTACAGTTTTTTCCCATAATGTTGTGTGTTGTGTTTCCTGTACATGTTCTGCTATGGATGAATTTTCAGTTTTTTTATTTTTTGCATATCCCTTATGCTCATTTAAGATAGATAGGCCTAAATAAAATGTTTTTAATTGTGTACCAGTTTAACGTTGAATATTATTTATGATTTTATCAAAAAATATCATGATTCAGTTTGGTTATTCAATTGATAAAAAAAATGTATAAAGAATTTGGTTTTTACTTTTATATTTTGACTTTGGTAATAAATGCTATGAAAATATTTGACATTCGTGACAAAAATAAAATGAACTAAAAATTCAATACAATTGGATCATACAAAATGTAACTTTCAACAAAAACTACTATTTTGATTCTTTGTCTATTTAGTTTTCACCTTGCTATCATAGGCAAGGGGAACATTCAAGTGTCCGGTAGCAATAACATACATTTTTCCTCCTAGAATATCACTAAAATAGATAAATGCAAAAATAGTATTTTATCTTATTCCAGAGGTCAGTGATCTTTGACTTGAGGTAACTTGTACTGGTATTTTAACTCATATAATCCCCTTATGATGAGATATAATGTCTAAGAAGTTTACTTTGGGAAAAAAGGTTTTAACTAGATTTATATATCATTTATTACTTTGTAGTGCAATTTGTTACATGAAAAGGTTTTTTGTTGTACTAAACTTGAAGATAGCTTTGATATATGGAAACATCTGTTAGTTGAGTTCTTGCACAGATCTTAAAATATAACATTCATAAATGGAAACATTGGCTCATGTAGATCTTAAAACTTGAGTTGTTCAAAACTTGAAAATAGTGTTAATAACTGGACCAAATATCTGCTGAAGCTTTTTGCCAGACACAGCTTATAAAATGAGTCAGATCAGCGTAAGCAGGTAAAGCAATCACTGATTGCCGTCTCCTTTAGCCAATCAGGAAATCTCACAGACCTACCGAAGGATGTGTAGATTGTATAGGAATTTTTTTTGGTGGCAAAGGACAGGTTTATATGTTTTAATAAAGGTGGCTTACAAAATAGAGAGATGAAATGTTGACCGACCATTTGCAATAATTTCAAACATGCTATCCGTGTAGTTGTGAGCACAAGTCGGGTTCACTAGTAAATGCTGGTCAATCGCTGATTCACATTTAGGTAATAGATATTTCAGCAGATATTTCTTTTGCAACATCTCAACCAACAATTGGTCCAGCTATCAATGCTGTTTTCAAGATATGTGTATTTACATGAGCTGATGTTTCCATTTATGAGCGTTATATTTTAAGATCTGTGCAAGAACTCAACTAACAGATTTTTTCATATATCAAAGCTATATTCAAATTTGTTACATCTTTCTAGAGGTTATTAAACTTCAGGTCAAAAGATCGGTGACCTTTCACAAAAGGTTAATAACTTTTGGTAAAAGATCTAGACATTTTGTAGCTAACCCTAAAAATTATCTTTTTAGAGATCTCAATGGACCCAAGACTGCAGAATGTATAAATGTTCAATTGTACAGCAATTGTAGACCATTCTGTTTAAATCTTTCACCAAAAGTTATTACTATTTTGTAAAAGGTCATTGATCTTTTGACCTGAAGTTGTTGAGCTCATCACCTGATCAGAAGTCAAAGCTGTCACATTCCAAAACTTTATTTGAAAGCAGTGTCTCTGAAAATAATTATTCCAATTTTGTTTCCTCTTTTTGTATTTTATATCGTCTGTGAAAGAAATTAATTAGTTTTTCATAAGAAAATTAGCCTGAAAAATTTCTGATTGAGTATGAAATTTGAGATATTGCATGAATGAAAAAAAAAAGTTCTATAAAAAGCTTTATATTTATCTTGCTTAAATCTGTCCATCTGTAAAGGAAATTTATCTGACCCATTTTGATTTGTGTGTGGCAATGCCTATTCCAGTAACTGTGGGTCAATATGAAACTATAAGAAGAAGAAAAGTATTTTATACTTAAAATGAAAATCACCTTGCACTCGAACTATTTTAACAGTTTAAGTGCAAATAATTACTATAGATAGATAATACTTTTATAAGAAAGAAGTAATTAATATAATGTCATTCTTTGTGTACAAAATACTTATAAATAAAATCTTTCAAGGTTTTGTGAGGAATGCTCAGAGTTACCATATATTTTTTACATAAATGTCCTTCCCCAGTTGAAGTGATACAGATTGCATCAGCCCGAGAGGAAAGGATTAAAAGAACCTCAAATGACTTAAGAAAAACCAATTTTAATTTAACAGTCACTGTTCCAAGCAGGTTAAGAGCCATAGTCTTAACTATAAAATTTTTGATTAATTTAGGTTAAAATTATTAGTGTTGGTGTATATTCCATGTATCATACTTATCCTACAATGACACTTGATATATTTTATTGAGGAAATGAAACCACTAAACATAGCCCCTATACTTTGTCATAATGGTCTGCTCCAATGCATGAAAGGAGTCACTTCAAAGCTTTTCCTAAGGATTTTTTTCAACTGCACAATTATATTTTAACTTCATTTTTTAATATAGGACATCTTATTGACCTCACATATACAGGCCTAATAACATATGACCCAAAAAATGAAGACTATTCTAGTAAATACATTTGTTTATCAACTCTGGAATGGAATTTTATAATTTTAAATGTGTTTTGTAATGTATATCCACATGAACTTACTTATAGAGATGAATTTTCAACTGCACAAATATTTGTACAGGTGTACAATTTGTGATCAACTGCATGCTAGGAAAATCCTTGGGTTGCTACATGTAATGTTTGGTGGTGTGTATGTGTATTGTTTTTAATACAACTTTTGTTCAAGTAATGGGTATTATACAAATCAAAGATTCAATTTTTCATGTGAGTGACATTTGATATGTGACTACCATTGAAATATTATCAAACAGTTTCTGTTAAAAAGAAAGAAAAAATCTAATACTGCTTGAATAACACTTGACAAACCTTCTAATGGTTAGAACTATTTTCATATTCTTGCCTAGCAAATAAACCTTTCAACACAGCTATAGAATGCTTTATGTAATACTGTACTATTTTCTTATTTTAAATAATTCATTCCCTTCATGAAACATTCATGGATAATAACATTTTATTATGTTAAAAATAGCTTACAATTCTACACAATGTGTAAGTAAATTTTTTTTTTTAATTTAATATATATCTTAACCATATTATGTTTATGGCATTGTGGCTAGAACATTTTCTTTCTGTATGAAAAGTCACTCATTACTTGTGATAACAAATGTTTATGAATGTGAAATTTTTTTGTGTGTAATCTCTATCAGTCAATAAATGGCAGTAATAAATAATTATATGAACATTCAATATACAGGAGTAGGTTTAGTCCAAAGTGATTTTTACTATGTTTAAAATTCTTAGAACTACCCCAAAAATATTTATTACCCCTATATGGTGATTAGTCTCATGTGGTACAAGGATTTTGAAATCACTGTGAAGTAGTACATGTAGCAGAGTCAGAGTCTCATGCAACTTTACAAGTATGACGAAGCCTAAAATGTTAGCCATAGAAAGCTTTTTTGTTAGAGTAGGTAAGTATCTATCAGATAGATCAATGTCATACTGACATTGTGCTCTCATAAGTTCGCATTCAAATGTGTAGCTAGCTAGCCCTAGTTTCTTTTTTTGGTTGTTTGTTTTCTTAAGTTCATTGTTAAAACAAAATTCATATACCTCTCACATTTGCATTTTAAAACAAATAATGCATAGGTCACTAAAATAGAATGTTTAAAAAATGTAAAACAACTATAATTTAACTGGTTTTCTAACTAAGCCATAAATATATTAAAAACACTGCTAATGCTATGACCATCAACACATACATGAATTATTTCCTCTGGATTAATGTCTTTTGGCACAAATTTGCTTTGACCATCAACACATACATGAATTATTTCCTCTGGATTAATGTCTTTTGGCACAAATTTGCTTTGACCATCAACACATACATGAATTATTTCCTCTGGATTAATATCTTTTTCCACAAATTCAAAAGGATAGTTGCATGTTTAAATTAGAAAATAAACACTTTCTCTTGGTTATAAACATGTATGTCAAAAAAAAAAATGTTTTTTTGAAAACTGCCTTAAAAGTTAAGGATAATTGGGTGAGACTTTGGTTGTGTGTTGGGAAAATTTATTGATATCTCAGCAAGTGGAGAAGTTAGCATGCTGAACCTGAACATTTGACCTTGTAATTATTCACAGTATGTGTTTAGATTACTTAAGACAGTGTAAATGCTATACTATTGAAGTTCAACTGAAAAGGGGGAAAATTTAGAGTACTTGCACATCACGCAACAACAAAAGTGAAGATTAAAAATGTTAAAAAATATTTTGTTTTGAAATTAAGGTAATATAAAATGTTAAGCTATAAACTACATTATGTTGCTAATTTATTGACATACATTATTAATAAAGTTGTTTAGTTCAGTTTTGAATATAACTGAATAAACATGTCATAACAAAAAATTATCAATCCCAGATATATAAACTTTCTTATAAATGCAAGGTTAGAAGAAGGGAAAAGTAATTGTATTATTTTGTTTGTGAAGCTGAGTTAAGTCTAAGATTTTTATTTGATTTTATTGCACTTTTGTAAGTAACAGTATTAATCTTCATAATACAGTTGTAAAATACACTGCATTGCTTTTAAGAAACTGAAGAACAGGTTAAGTTTTATTGCTTCATTGCCTTGTGATTTTATATTAAAAGAGACCACAAAGTCATATGCAGTTGGTTTCAAATCATTGTAATTTTTTTTAAGTTCAAGGAAACTGATTTTCTTGTCATTGAAGTCTTGCTGAATGTTTTTATCTAAACATTAAAGAAATTTAATTATTCTGAATTTTTTGTGCAAACTTTCTGTTGTGTGTTGCTGAGAATTTTGAGGATTTCTAGTTATAATTAGAAAGAAATATTTTCTTAATTTTTGAGTAAATAATTTTGAACAGGAATTGTTTGAATTATGTTATTTACTCTTGCAGTGATCAACTGAAAATCTGTTACTTGATTTTTTCTTTAAACTATGCTAAAAAATAATCTTTTTATAATTTTTGTTAAAAATGTTACAAGAAAACACTATCATGTGACTAGAATTTTCAAATAACTTGTTGAATACTGTGTCTAAACTTTAAAAAAAGTGTGAAAAACTATAAGTGATATAAATTTGTTTTAAATTAATCCATACAAAGATAAGTGTAGCATTAAGGTTTTGGCATACAATTTGTATTGAAGAATGAAGACTGATGAAAGTGTGTTTCAGAGCTCGTTGGTGATCTCCTGAAGAATAAACCAAAGGAGACTGATGGATTTGAATCAGTAATTGTGGTTGATGGAATACCACAAGTTGGTCAAGAAAGACAAGAAAAGCTTGAGAAAGTGATTCACAAGATCTATTCCAAGTTTGGTAAAATCATTACAGAGCATTATCCAAAAGATGAAAATCTGAAAACTAAAGGGTATGATTATATTTATTTATATACAGATATATATATGTGTGTGTGTGTGTGTGTGAATATGTACAGAGTCTGACCACTTTTCTAGGAACTATGTACCCATTCAGACTTTGGCCTGACCCGAGCTGCAGATGCAAAGTAGATTAATCACATCAGTTTTATTGCTAGGAGAAATCACTACCAGTCACAAGTGATGCAGTCCAATGAACCTTGCTGTACCCTTTTTTTCACATGTGAGAGATGAAAGATTAGGAAAAAGCCACGAGAAAAAACTGTTCAGACCTCTGGTGCAGTCATTGGTTGGGGTATGTTTTCCTGACATATGCTGGACTCCTTGGTCCCTTAGGAAGGTTAGATGAATGCCACAGCATACCTAAGCATTGTTTCTGATAAAGTACATCCAGTGATGCTTCATATGTACCCTAATAAAAAAGCTATCTCTAAGATGATGATGCTTAAATTCAAAGTTTCAAAATTGTGTATGCATGGTTTGAGAAACATGACAGAGTCTTTGGGCAATTCCCACGGCCATGACAATCCCTACATTTTAATCCAGTTGAGCATCTGGGGATGAAGTTGAAAGATACAGTTACCATGATGATTCTCTGCCTACCTCATTCCATGAATTGCATACATTATTAATGACTGAATAATGAAAACTCTCTGGATATCTTTCAACACTTTGTGGATTCTATAACACATTGTATCATGGATATTATTTTTGCAAAAAGTACCCCAGTCCATTATTAGGTATAGTTCCTAATAGATTAGCCAGACCCTGTATATAATTATATTTGGATGTTTGCGCTTGCTACTTCTTAATATTACTTTAGTGAGGATGATGATAACCATAACAGTGTGTGTTAAAAAGTAAACATGACAGCTGTAAAATTTTTCTCATCTTGATTTTGATTATTCAGTCTAGCTTAATAAAAACATTTAAAGATAAACTTCGTACAAGAATTGCATATTTGAAATTACACTTGTTAATTTTATTAAAGTTGGTCATTGAGAGAAGTGTGTATTTTGTTTTTAACTTGTTAGGACAGTGATTCTAACAGGGTTTTCAATGACTGTCTGAACTTTCCTCTGTAGTCATATATTATATAGGTCCTTGAATTCTGTATGTAGGTTTAACTTATTCACCAGAAATCAGTTGTGATTACATTGCCAAGGTGGTTGCCTGTGTATTGGTGAGAGTGAAACCTTTTTGTTCAAGGGCTTTATTTAAGATAATTTCTGGTTGCAGGTATGTCTTTCTGGAGTACTCATGTCCTGCCCATGCTTTAGAAGCAGTGAAGATGACTAATGGCTACAAGCTAGATAAACAACATACATTTTCTGTGAACTTGCTAACAGATTTTGACAAGTAAGTAAAGCATGAAGTATTACTTAAATTAAAAATTTTTAATTAAGGTGTGCCGACAGTATTGCTACTTTGAAATAATTTAATTAATCATTATTATTTTTATTTTTTGTGTCTATGTAGGCACAACCAAATAACTCAGGAAAATATGAAATATGCTTTTTATTTCAAGTATCTATATATCATGTAAGCCGAGATATTTCAGTTTGAAATTATGGATTATCTCCCTAATCCACAATGATAATACCTTAGTATAATCTGTGACTTTGTTGTTCCTTGGAGTACATCTTTCTTACACACATAAATAAGCATTATTGTTATTATTATTATTAGAATCATAATTCTTTCAGCATAATGCTTCATTTTATTTTTTCATTACATACCATGATGTCTGCAGTATGAGAAACTGGCATCAGTTTGAAAAATATCAGCCACACAAAGAGTGAAGCAAGACACCGGGACATACACAACTTGTGAAGCATTGCACATAATCCCACACTAAAACAAAACATTCAAATCAATTTTTCATTTAAATTAGACTTGTTTTGCAAAATATTATGCCTTCATGTAAATGTTAATATTTCACTTTGTATGTATTCTTTCTAATGAGTTATGTACATAAAAGTTAGTATTAGGTCATCAAGAAATTAATGTTGCATCTTGGAACACTTTCATTAACCACCCCAATAAATGTACGTCACGTGTAATAGTTAAACAAACTGCCTAAAGTCATGTTAGTGTAGCCTATATAATGCATAAAGTTTAGTATACTCTAATCCCCTATAGTGATGACACACAACGAGACACACAATCGGCAGGTTTGAATACAAGAAGGGGAAACAACTCCTCTGTAGCCACAAAGAATATCAGAGAAGTTTATGGAAATGTTTTGAACATTCATAAGTGTAAATGATGGTTCAACAAATTTCCTTCAGAGAACTTTACCCTTAAAAACTGTGATGGCAGGGGCTGGCATGCTATGCTTGAATTGATATTAATGCTCTGAAGATGCTTGTTGAGTCTAACCCAAAGCAACACACTTCTGAAATGGTCCTGAAATTGCATGTCTCTCATGAAACAATACGTAAACATCTAAGGAATGTGGGAAAACTTCTTAAAGAAGGTGTTTGGGTGCCTCACGAGCTCTCTGACAATCGTTGTTTCCAAAGTGTGAATGTTGCTTTGTCTCTTCTGGCACGTAATGAGTGTGAACCATTTCTTGACAGAATTGTCACCGGTGATGAAAAATGGATTCCCTTTGCGAATATTAAATGCCAAAAACAATGGTTCAGTCTTGGACAAAATCCATTTCCAAATCCAAAATCTGGACTCCATCTGCAGAAAGTGATGCTTTGCATTTGGTGGGACATCAAAGGAGTAATTCAATTCAAACTCCTCAATCCACAACAAACTGTCAATGCAGAGATCTATAGTCAGCAACTGGAATGTTTAAATCAAGCCATTCATCAGAAACACCTTTCACTCATCGATCGGAAAGGTGTTCTTTCTCTCCACGACAATGTACGTCCACATCAAGGGATATCATCCCTCTAACTTCACATGTTGGATTTGCCTGGTCCATTGGGCCAGATTTTGCAATTGTGTAGAATTCTTCTTGTCACATTTATGTTGCCCTTTCACTGTGTCTGTCTATCAATGAAAGTGGTGGGTCCATTCACCACTCCTTGTCCACTACATTTTTCAGTACCACATGATGATTTCTTTCCCTGTTCTGCTGCTTCTTTCTTCACCGACCTCCTCGCCCAACTCCCATGCATGAATGGAACCTTAATGTTCTTTTGCATGCTCTTACGCATGCCCCAATTTAGACATTAACTTCCTGCTTTTTGTACCACCTTTCTCTCTGACTTATTTCCTCCTCTTTGCTTGCAGTCACTGCCATTCAGATGTTTATGCTAATGATGCTTCTTGCACCCTTTTCCACTGCACTTGTATACTCCTTTACCTGGGCCAATCTTTCCTTTCTGCTGCTCAGGAAAATTACTGCTCTTTCTATATATATCTTCCTTCCATTTTTCACCTTTATGATCATTCAGACTTGGATCGGCTCCTGTGTCCTATTAGGGCTGTTTGGTGCTACTTATCACGGATTTCTCCCCTTCAAGGTCTACACCATCCTCTGTTCCTACCCTGGGACCCCTCTTCTTCCAGGTACCTCTCTCCTTCTACCCTTACTAGATGAGTCAGTCAGCTCCTGCAGTTGGTATATTTTTTTTCTGGATGTGGATGCTTGTGGTCTGTTTGTTTCATATTTATTTGCATCAGCTTTGTCATCTGTCTCATTCTCTTGCTTTCCACTTTTACCAGCCCTTGGATGAGATTCTCCAGGGAGGCATATGGATGACTCCCGACATGTTTTTTGCTCATTATCTTCATCATCAGGCTGTTTTGTCTCCTGTAGAATTTGGACTTTTCCCAGTTGTCATTCTTCAGTCAACCCACTGAAGTGGTGGACCATGGAGAATCCTCACTGGTTTGGCTTATTAGCACAATGTGATGAGAAGTGGGGCGGTGGTGACTGTAAGTATGTAGTATGGATCACCCCTATTCCTGCAGCCAGGGTCAAAGTGAGTAAACTGTATGGTCGTGATCACATTCTGACCATCCCTGAGATACTTCAGGCTCTCACCTTTCCTCTTGGGTGATGAGTGTACCCTTGTCAGACGAGATGCAATCTCCCGTGGGTGTGTCTTTATGTAACCACTGCTATTGGGTGTCACATGCCATGGACTTCCCTTCAGGCACTTTCATCTATGTACATTTTTGCAATGGCTCCTCCATTGTTTCAGCATGGGTTTCTTGCATCTTTGTGTGAAGGTAAGTTATCATCTTGGAAGGTAACATTTTCCTAATCCGAAAATGTACTTGTAATTAATACTTGTCTCACACATATTCCCTCCTTACTTCCAGTACACCTATTTTTTTTCCTTGCCTCATCTAAGAATACATTTATCATAGGTGCATGGGGGGGCGGATACTTGCATAGAGGTTGTGTTGCCATCTTATTGGTGGAGGGCTATTGTCACATGATGGCATCATCACACAAAACCACAGTTCACATTAGCTCAAGACTAGTGTCATAGGCAGACATGGGAGGGAAATATCATTTCTGTATAAAGAGGTGAGTATTTATCAGAAATACATTTTCATATTGGGAAAATGTTAACCTTTTTATTAAAGTCAAAGTAGAAAAGAAATACCATTTAATGTCAGTTTATGTACAATGCTGATGTACATAGCTGTACATTACTCACTCATTAATTCTTAACCATTTGTTTTCTTTCTTTAGATGAAACTAGTTTTTAATGGTCATTTGAGGTGAAGCTATTCAAGTTGATAGCTTTGAATTGGAGCATTAAAAAAAGCTAGATTGTTGTAATGCTTTTGAATTAAATTATTTAGCAACATAGTTTAGTGTGCTTTGTGTATATTTCATGACTATAAAATCTGGTACTTTTAGGAGTGAATTAGCGTGTGTTGTGAGGAATATGTATCAAATCTGGAACTAGCTTAATCTTTAATGCATTCTTCTTCTTTTGACAGGTACGAAAATGTTTGTGATGATCTTGAACCTCCCACACCTCAACCTTATGTAGATCATGTAAGCTTCACAAAAGAAAATTGAATTAAACTATTATTCAGTTTATGTACTGTAAATTTTATGATAGTAATGTAAATTGCAAGTAAATTAGTGTTATCAGTTCCTTTACAGTTATGTTGTTTGAAAATTTTTTGAAGAAATATTATTATGTAATTATATCAAATATATTTAATTTTTCAAATTGTGTTTGAAACATCAGATGCTTACAAAGAAGATTATGTAATTATAAAAATTAATGGAATGTTTAAATAAAAACCGAGTTTTGTTTCTGAAGTGGAAAATGCAAATTTATATACAGTCAACATTTGAAATTAACTGAAGGTGTGTTGATTCAAGGATTATTACTTGTTTCTGTTTTTTGAATGGGAAATAATGATTTATTTTTCAAGGAATCCTGTTGATCTTTACCTCTAGATCATTACGTTCATTTCCGTATTTTCTCTCTCACATTTGTTCCAGTTATAGTTGGTAGCGTTTAGTGTATGAAGCTGTCACTGATTAATTGTTTTAATGTACTTTATGAGAGTTTTTTATTTTTTTAGAGCATTGGAAACTTGATATTTGGAGTAATTTTAATATTAAATAATCTGTTCAGGAAAGACTTGGGCATTAACATGTACCTGAGAACAAAAACTATATATATATATATATATATATATATATCTTTTTTAGGGTAATCTGTG